GGGTAGGTTAGGTTAGGTTATCGGGTTTTGTTCAAGTGACCACCCTCTTTCGATCCCCCACCTCCACCCGCTTGAAAATAATTTTTTTATTGAATTTTATTTGAATTATAGTGTATGAAAACTGTCAACATAATCAACTTTCAACCCCCATAACTTTTTATGGGGGTGAAATCGCCGCAAATTTTTTATGGGGTTTTACTCAGGTGACCATCCTCTTTCGATATCCCCTACCCTCTTTCGATCCCCCTACCCCCACTTCCATCTAACCCCCATAACTTTTTATGGGGGCGAGACCGCCACGAACTTTTTATGGTACAGTGGTGGGGGAGACATCCTCTTTCGATCCCCCCCACTTCGGGGGTGGGGGCCATCATCTAGACATTTACCAAGAGAAATCTTCCTGCAATACTCATTTGTAGATATTTGTAGAACATACACTGACATACACTTATTAAAAAAATATTCAGTCGCTTAAATGAAGGCCCTTTTTAATTGAAACAAGCGTGTTCACATCTCCAACAAACAATTAATTAATTTAAAAAATGAACTTTCTTTCCTTTGTTTTCAATTTGTTGGTTTTCCCGCGCATTTCCTTTACAGACGTGGTACATTATTCTTTCAATTTATGGCAAACGCCGACGACTGCGGACCTGAATGAGAAAAGGTGTTCACTTACAATAGAAAACCGTTTTGTTTGGTACAAAGTGTACCCTTTGGGCAAGAATAATAGCCTTGCATGTATGCTTGTTTGTTTGTGTGAGCTTGTAAGTTGTTCCTGAGCTTAATTTTTGATAAAAGTTGCTTGCCTTGCTAGCTCTCTCTCCCAATTTGCTCTTGTTCGACCCAGACGATATTGCGACATAAGCCGTTAATTCCCCTTCGATTTTAGAACATTAACAACAAGATAAAGTTCTATCTGTACAAGTCCGGAATTACAAAACGTTCGCGCTCATTCTTTACGGAAACAGTTTCGAGTAAAAATTGTTTAATTAACAACAGTTCACACCAAGAATAAGCTTTCAAATTAAAAGTGAATACAAACAATGTAAAATTGTTTAATTATTTATTATTTAGTATGTCGGAAGTAAGCGGAACGTCAGAAGTATAGGGGGAATCCCCCCAAATATCCCTCGTCCGATTGTAACCATATAATCTTAAATTAGATAACAAATAAGCAACTTCTTTGTTTCCGGGAAAATGGAGTAGTTTCTAAATATATTGATGATTTCATTTGTCATGAATGTGACCAGAATTAGATTTTTAGTTTACTAGCTGATTGAAAGTAATTAGTAAGGCTTATTGATGGTACCAAATGACTAGAATAAGTATATAATTTAAGCAAAACGTTAAGAAAGACCAACAAGTTTGATTAAAGAAACGTTAAATGTTTAATTTTGTTAGCAAAATGTTGAATAATTATGTTGATTGTGGAATATTAAAGAATATGTTGAAATTTTGTTTTTTTTCTTTATAAGAAGCAATAACTGTGTTTCTTTATAATTTAATTT